TGGCCGCGCCGCTCCACTTGCAGGATTTCTCCCGGGGGCTGTAGGCGCGTAAAAAAAGTCTTTTCCCCTTATCTTCACTCCCCCCTCCTGCCCCTCGGGGCGTCGGCTTTGGGCTCGCCCGGGCTGATTCCCAAACCATTCGTTCGGACGTGTGCATTTTTCGGCCACGAGGTTCCTGGGATTTTTTTTTTTTGCGTTTTCGGCCTCGGGAAGCCGCTTTCGGGCCCCGGGGGCGTCGGAAATCGATCCGGGGTGAAAAACTGCTTCGGATGGACCCCAGGAGGGGCCCCAGGACAGCTTATAAAAACAGCTTGTTTTACAACGTACTCCTGGGCCCTCTTCGGTTCCTCTTGGAGCCCCCTCTGGGGGCCTCTGGGAGCCCTCTAGGGGCCCTCTTGGACCCTTCCCAGGGCCCTCGGAGGGGCCCAGAGGCGCCCCAAAACGGGCCCAAGTGAGCCCCAGGACAGCTTATAAAAACAGCTTGTTTTATAACGTACTCCTGGGCCCTCTTCGGTTCCTCTTGGAGCCCCCTCTGGGGGCCTCTGGGAGCCCTCTAGGGGCCCTCTTGGACCCTTCCCAGGGCCCTCGGAGGGGCCCAGAGGCGCCCCAAGACGGGCCCAAGAGGGCCCCAGGACAGCTTATAAAAACAGCTTGTTTTATAACGTACTCCTGAGCCCTCTCGGGGGCCTCTTGGAGCCCCCTTGGGGGCCTCGGGTCGGCCTTGCGCAATCAAATGGAGGCCCCAAGAGGGGGCCCACGGAGCCCCAAGAAAGGGGCTCAATGAGCCCCCATGGGAGACTTAAAGAACCTCCGCGAGGGTCGAGAATCAAGGTTCGAGGGCCGATATTTTCGACATCTCGTGGCGTCCTCGTCGCCGCGGCTGGGCCCGCTTCGAAATCCGCGCAACACAGGTCGAGGGGGCGGACCTCCGAGGGAGGTGGATCGACGGCCGAGGGTCGAGAGAGCGCCAAGACGGCACTCTTCCGCCTCCTCCACCTCCTGCACTCCCCTCCCCATGGGGCCGCGCGCGAGCGAGCCTGGCGAGAGACCGGCGCGGGCGAGCCCGGCGCGGAAGGCCTCCCAAACACCCATGAAGTCATCCGAGGGATTTTCTCGCTCCGCCCCCCCCCCCTTCCTCCCCCTATCAACCTCCCCGCCCCAATATTGATCCTCGTCCTCCCCCTCCTGCTCTCCCGCTCGCCCTCTTCATCCACGGCCATTTGGGCGTTCAAGGTTGTGCGAGGGAGAGAGGGGGAGATTGCCATACGCACAGAAAGAAGCCGCCCGCTTTCTTTCGGCATACCGCTCCGCAGTCGCGATGGCGACGCTGAAGCGCCCCGCCGCCGTTGCAGGTCTCGCCGAGGAGGGCGCCCCCGCCAGGCCGGAGGGGGCTGCGTCCGCCGCCGCCGCCGAGCAGGCCCCTTCCCCGGAGGTTGCACTCAACGACGAGTCGTTTGCAGTCCAGCCCGCCGAGCAGATCGTGAAGAAATGCCAGACGCGCAAGGAGGCCATTCCCGAGACGGACAAGTTCCAAACCTTAAAGAAATACGACCCTACCAAGCCGGCTGTGAAACCCCAGTACAGGTGCTCGGACTGCCACAACGCGCGGGGCCGCGTCCTCACGCTCTGCAAATCCAACGAGGAGTTCGGCGACGGATTCGAGAAAATGACGCCCGACCAGCGCAGCAAGCTCATCGCGGACGCGAAGGGCTTGTTCAACGACCAGCTTTCGAAAGTCATCGAAGAGACGGTGACGGAGTACAAAACGCAGAGGGCCCTTCGCAACTTTTCTTCTGAAGGCGAGATGGTCGACGTCGACAAGTTGGACGACCACGAGAAGTTCAAGAACGACCCTGCCGCGAAGGCCCACATCCTCGAGCACGGGATCAAGAACCACTGCGAGCACAGGAACAAAGAACAAGTATGGGTTCCAACGCACTTCTTGAAGCTGAGCAAGGGGGAGGCCACCGGCAAGGAGTCCAAGCGCAAGATCTCTTGCGAGACGGATGTGAAAATCAAGCAACAGAGGAAGGGGCCCGGCAACAAAAAGAAGGCGACCGAGAACGGCGAGGGCGGTGGCGAACCGACTGGCGAGGGAGGCAGCGAGCCGGCACACCCGCAGGTTACTCCCGCCGTCTTCAAGCGCTTGGAGTCGGGGCTGCAGAAAATGGACAGCTCCGTTCTGACTCTCACGACGAAGCTCGTGATGGCGCGGGCTCCAGAGAACGCGGACAGCATCCCGAAGAAGACTATGGAGGCCGCCGATAAGCTTCTCGCGGACTCGGAGGCGGACGTCCAGAAGCTCAAAGATTTCATTGCAGCCACGCGCGGCCCCAAGCAGGACATCAAGGACCTCCTCGAACACGTGGCTGAGGCGCTCAAGAAGAGCAAGGCGATTTGCGGCAAACTCGACGCCTTGATGGATGATGGAGATGAGATGGGCGCTTAGCTGTGATCCCTACTTACAAATATCTTCCCCTAGGCTCCTCCCTTCGGTCGCTCGACACCACGGGCACGCTGTCCACCTGCGGGCTCGCGTTTTAGCAGCGTTGCCAGGAGCGAAGCAAAATCCTCATCATCCTCTCTCAACCTAACCCCATCCCTCCTGCATTTAAACGCCGTCGTCGCACTTGTCTTCGGCTCGCCGCGGCAAGAAAATGCGAATTTATTAGATTATCCTGCGCCTTCCCCCCCCCCTATTCCTCCTCGCATTTCCTCCCCACGCGCCTCCCCCAAAACATTCGCACCCAGATAAATGCGAGCCCATGCCCTCCGTCCTCGATGCCCCATCCCACCTTCGGGGGACGACCGGGCCACTTTCGGCCAAGAATTTCGAGGCGGATCCAGCCGCGACCACGTGGGGGGCCTGGGCGGTTCCCCCCGGGGCCGTAGCGGACGCGAGGAGCTTCCCCAGGGTCAGTTTTTCATCCTGGGTTCGTTTCTGGCGGCCCCGGGGCCCGAAAACGGGCCCCAGGGGCCGAAAACGACGAGAGACCCCCTCGAACCTCGAACCTCGAACCTCCACGAAAAATCCACGAATAAGTCGAGGAGGAGGGGTCCCCTAAGCCCTTCGGGGAAACCCTCCAGGGGGGCCCTGGATGCCACAAGGAATGCGCGTAGACGAGCGATAGATGAGCGATAGACGAGCGATAGACGAGCGATAGACGAGCGATAGGACAAGGCGGTCGTCTATCGCTCGTCTATCGCTTGTCTATCGCTCGTCTATCGCTCGTCTATCGCTCGTCTATCGCCCATCTTCGCTGGCTCAATGCACCGTTCGCGGTTTCTTGGGCTCAAGTGTCCGACGAAGGCCGCGGTATGGATCTCACCGCGGAAGTTGGAAGAACACCTGACCTGCCGGATTTCTCTCAATTCGCTGGGGAAATATCTCTCCCAAGGCGTTTGCGAGTTGCGTCCCCGTGCGCTGGCCTCTTAGGTTGTTCTCACGCTTTGCAATTTTTGAATGTTGGGGCAGACTCTATAAATGTTTTCGACGTGGAAGACGAATACTATACGTACATTTGCAACCATCTGGCCAGCACCGGCATGGACCCGTCGGACATAAGACTACATCTTGGCCGTCCTGTGGGTGACGTCACGCAGGTCGATTTGCGCTCCTTAGAGCGACCGGTGGACGTTCTGGCGGTTGGGCCCCCGTGCCCACCTTGGTCAGTCCAAGGAAAGCACATGGGCAAGGAGGACATGCGCGCACAGGTATTCCATCGGATCCTCGATTGGGTTTTCTACATGGTGCACTGCTGTGGGCTTCTATGCGCCATCGTGGAGAACGTGCCTGGGATTAAAACTGTTCTGGCGGACGGCCGGGGGGCGCCGATCGATCAGCATGTCAGGCTCTTGGAGCAGCACGTGCCTGAGTTCACGCGGCGCGTTGAGACATTGAAGTTGGTGGACTATCTATGCCCTCAGAACCGCGTGAGGGTGTTTCTGGTGGGGCTAAGGAGAAACCTCGGAGACGTTCCTCGGCCATTGATGCCATTCGGCACCCGCCTTCTAGCAGAAGCACTAGCTTCCGGCTTGCCATGCATGTCACGCGCGTCCCTGACGGAGGCGCAACAACGAAATCTGAAGGCTTACGAGAATCGCATTCGCAGCCTGGTCGAGGAGGGCCGCGCGCCCCGCAACTCGACGGCAGTGGCGTCCTTTGACCGGGCAGAAGGGGTGGGCTTCAATACCACGCTCTCGGTCGATGTTTCCCCGACGTTGACCTGCCGTTCCTTTTATTTCGCGGTCCTGTCGGTCGAAGACGTTGTCAGCGACACTCCCGATGAAAACCGCCGATTGTTTAGAAAACTGACCAGCCCAGAGCGCTTCGCTCTGCAGGGGTTCCCGCCTTCCACAGCTTTGCAGATCGATTCCAAGCTCGCAGTGTTCAGCACGGGGAACGCGTATCCCCCACCGCTGTTGTTGGCAGTTCTAGCACCACTCCTGAAGAGGATGGTCGGGACAGACGGATTTGATTTGGCAGCGTGGCCCCCGGCGAGCGCTCTCTCCTCCGCCGAACCGCTTGGCCTGCGTGCGTTTTCCAAAGCGATCCGTCGGCCTGGTAAAATCGTCGATCGGGGCAAGCGCCGCCTTTTTTTGGAGGCCAGGCAACGTAGTGCACGCAAGCAGCGGCGCAGGAGCAGCAGCAGCGCTTGACAAAAAAAACAACATCACCACCTCCATCATCGCGATGTCCATCGCCACCATCATCACCACCGTCGCCATCATCAGTACCGCCGTCATCTCCACTCGCAATAATTTAAACTTATACCCTTCAATTCAGGGGCTCTGTGCGGATTAGGGTGCTGCTGCTGATGATGCCAGCGTAAGCGCGCCAGCTCCCAGGACGGCCCAAGAGGGCCCCAAGACGGCCTCAAGAGGGGCCCACGAGGGGGAGCCCGAACCGAAAATCCGAGCCTTCCGCCCCAAGACGGCCCCAGGATACCCCAAGAGGCGCCCAAGATGCCCCAAGGGGCGCCCAAGAGGCACCCCAGAGGCCCCGAGAGGCCCCCGAGAGGCCCACAGGAGATCCCAAGAGGCCCCAAAACGGCCCCCAAGAGGTTTCGAAACTGCCTCCAAGAGGCCCCCGAGAAGCCCCCCACCCAAGAGATCCCAGCGAACGCCGCGCGAGCCTCATGCCCGCAACCCGGGCGTGGTGGCGGGATATGCCGAAAGCACGTGGATGCTGAGACTGTCAGCTCGCAGGGAGGTTCGGTCCACGAACCGCGCGAGGGGTGCGCCGAGATGGGTAGAGGAGAGGACGGGGGGATGAGGGGTCAGCACGGGCGAGCCCAGAGCCGAGGGGGGACGTCAAAGGGCTCCACGACACAAAGCCGCCATGCTAGGCCACCCCCGGGGGCGCGAAGATAATTTGCATTCGCGCGCCATGATGGCCCGTGCCGGAGCAACCGCCCATCGCCGCGGGGGGCGGCGCGAGAGCTATAGATGGCGCGAAGATAACCACGAGTCGCACATCCCGGGGCGCGGCGAATCAGAAAGAGCCTCCCCGTCGAGGGATTAAGAAATGGACGTCCTTCCATCCGTAGCCACATCCCTCGATCTCGAGCGAGGGTGGCTAAATTGTGAGGAAGTATCAAGCGGGAACCGCTGCTGCTGCTGTAAACCAAGGGGCCAGGAGCTCAGTTTGAACCCCGTGATTTTCCCTGCTAAGAAAAACCGGATGCGATCCCTGGGGAAGCACTTCAATTGAAGAAGCACAATTGTCACAGGAGGGGGATCAACAATAATTGTTCTTCAGTCGTGAGAGTTCAACAACAGTACTAATCTGTCAGGGAGTCCTAAGCGTGAGCGCGACTCCTGGATGCCTGGGTGTCGGGAGCGCGGCGCGTGAGTAAATTGCAAGAAGTTCCAACGCAAGGGCGCTATTCAGCAGTAAATTGCAGGCGAATCTCCAGCGAGAGCGCGACTGCAGAGCGCCGGGAGAATAAATTCTAAGGAAGTCCCAAGCGAGAGCGCGACTCCTGAATAAAACGCGAGGAAGTCTCGGGCGGGAGCGGGGTCCTGGCTAAATTGTGAGGAAGTCTCAGGCGGCCGCCCCTGCAGGGAATCGCCGACGAGACCGTGCCGCTCGCGGCCAGCCGGCGAACCGCCGGCCCGCTCGCCCCCTGACCGCCAGGGAGAGGGACGAGTTTCGCTCGCACGTTGCCACTGCGCACCGCGCGTGCACTTGTCTGCTGGGAAATATGGCAATCCTCCTCGTCCTACCGACGGGGCCACGACGCGCGTGGCGAGCGAGGGGCGCGCAGTTTCACCCGTTTTTCCTTCCTCCTCCCCCGCCTCCTCCTGCAAATCCTCCGCGGGGTCAGCACTGGGCTCGCCCGTGATCCCCCTCCTCCTTTTCCCCCTCCTATATACATTCCGATCGTTTTCGGTTTTTCGCCGCTTTCGGTCCCCGGGGGCCGTTTTCGGGCCCCGGGGCCCTCACAAACGGACCTGGGTGCAAAATTGCGTCGGATGGACCCCCGGAGGTGTCCGGGGACGGACTTTGAGCCGAGTTGCATTATACTTTTTCAGCAAGGTCTCAACTTATAAGCGTAGTCTCAGATTCGGGCCTTCTCCGTGGAATTTCTTGATCGGAGTCCCCCGCATAAAGATGTTTTAGGGTGAGCTGGAGCAGCGGGGCGCAACAGTAGTTAGACACTGAAGTACTGGGATACCCTCCTCGCTCTGGCGGGGCCTCCCATGGAGGGGTGGGAGGGGCGCGAAACCTGTGGAATATGATGGTATTGCGATGCCCTCCTTGCTCTGGCGGGGCCTCCCAGGAGGGGTGAGAGGGGCGCGAAAGCTGAAACAAAATTGCATTGCGATACCCTCCTCGCTTTGGCGGGGAATCCCAGGAGGGGTGGGAGGCGCGCAACTTATGAGTAGTGGTAGTAGTAGTAGTAGTAGTAGTAGTAGTAGTAGTAGTAGTAGTAGTAGTAGTAGTAGTAGTAGTAGTAGTAGTAGTAGTAGTAGTAGTAGTAGTAGTAGTAGTAGTAGTAGTAGTAGTAGTAGTAGTAGTAGTAGTAGTAGTAGTAGTAGTAGTAGTAGTAGTAGTAGTAGTAGTAGTAGTAGTAGTAGTAGTAGTAGTAGTAGTAGTAGTAGTAGTAGTAGTAGTAGTAGTAGTAGTAGTAGTAGTAGTAGTAGTAGTAGTAGTAGTAGTAGTAGTAGTAGTAGTAGTAGTAGTAGTAGTAGTAGTAGTAGTAGTAGTAGTAGTAGTAGTAGTAGTAGTAGTAGTAGTAGTAGTAGTAGTAGTAGTAGTAGTAGTAGTAGTAGTAGTAGTAGTAGTAGTAGTAGTAGTAGTAGTAGTAGTAGTAGTAGTAGTAGTAGTAGTAGTAGTAGTAGTAGTAGTAGTAGTGGTGGTAGTAGTACTGGTGCTGGTGCTGGCAGTGGTAGTGGTAGTGGTAGTCGTGGTAGTGGTAGTGGTAGTGGTAGTGGTAGTGGTAGTGGTAGTGGTAGTAGTAGTGGTAGTAGTAGTCGTGGTAGTAGTAGTAGTAGTAGTAGTAGTAGTAGTAGTAGTAGTAGTAGTAGTAGTAGTAGTAGTAGTAGTAGTAGTAGGTAGTAGTAGTAGTAGTAGTAGTAAGTAATAGTAGTAGTAGTAGTATCTAGTTAGTAGTCGTAGTAGTAGTAGTAGTAGTAGTAGTAGTAAACGTAGTAGTAGTAGTAGCAGTAGTAGTAGTAGTAGTAGTAGTAGTAGTATTAGTAATAGTAGTAGTAGTAGTAGTAGTAGTAGTAGTAGTAGTAGTAGTGGTAGTAGTAGTAGTAGTAGTAGTAGTAGGAGTAGTAGTAGTAGTAGTAGTCGTAGTAGTAGTAGTAGTAGTAGTAGTAGTAGCAGCAGCAAGTAGCAGTAGTAGTAGTAGCAGCAGTATTATATAGTTGTTGTTGTAGTAGTAGTAGTAGTAGTAGTAGTAGTTATAGTAGTAGTAGTAGTAGTAGTAGTAGTAGTAGTAGTAGTAGTAGTATTAGTCGTAGTAGTAGTAGCGTAGCAATAGTGGTAGTAGTCGTAAGTAGTGTAGTAGTAGTAGTAGTAGTAGTAGTAGTAGTAGTAGTAGTAGTAGTAGTAGTAGTAGTCAGATTTAGTAGTAGTAGTAGTAGTAGTAGTAGTAGTAGTAGTAGTAGTAGTAGTAGTAGTAGTAGTAGTAGTAGTAGTAGTAGTAGTAGTAGTAGTAGTAGTAGTAGTAGTAGTAGTAGTAGTAGTAGTAGTAGTAGTAGTAGTAGTAGTAGTAGTAGTAGTAGTAGTAGTAGTAGTAGTAGTAGTAGTAGTAGTAGTAGTAGTAGTAGTAGTAGTAGTAGTAGTAGTAGTGGCGGTGCTGAGTGTGGTAGAGGAAGTGGACGGAGCGGGAGCAGGCGGGAGGAGGAGGATGAGGAAAAGGACAGGGTGTCCTAGGAAAACAAAAACCCCACTTGCAGGATGTGGGGGAAAAAAAACATCGCCCAAGGAATTCCTGTGGTCCCGACTTGGGGGCTTTTTGTCGGTAGACTCCAGCGGGTCAGCAGGGCGCGCGTTCTCCGAGGATGCGTATAGTCGCCGGGGTTCCACCCAATCCGGTGCTTTGTGCGACACGCCGGCGTCCACCCAGTGCCGGTGCTGCCAGGTGTTGATTGCTTCGGCTGGTTGCCCATTTGCTATCGTCTTTTCTCCTCTTTCCCCTTCGCTGCTCCTCCTGCCTCCTTGCTGCGGCCCGATGTTGGCTCTTTCCTCATCTGAGTTTCGGGTGACCCTGTAGGGTAATCCACAGGTGTCGCCGCAGCACTTCTTTAATTTAATAGCTGCCGCCTCTCCGCGCTGGACGTTTGAAAAGCTGCGCGCCACGAGTATCGCAGTCAGCATGGCGCCGGAAGGAAATCCGAAGACCCACTTTCAATAGGCAGAGCAGAGATCGGCAGGTATCCGCTGGCGCCACAAAAAAAAAGTCGCCGGGGTTCCAGCGGTCCCTCATGTCAGGCTCAGCCAGCGAGCATGAGCTGTCTGGGCTGTCTGCACCATCTGACGGGCCAGACTGCCCAAACGGCCACAGCCCAAACGGCCCAGACAGCCCGGACGGCAGACTGCAGACAGCGGCCAGAGCCCATGACGGCCCAGACGGCCACGGGGCAGTCCGCCCAGACCCAGACGGCCCAGACGGTCCATGTGCAGAGACGGCCAGCCCAGACGGCCCAGACGGCCCACGGAGCTCAGACGGCCCAGACAGCAGACGGCCCAGACAGCCCATGACGGCCACAGCCCGGACGGACGGGTGCAGACGGCCGAGCGCAGACGGCCCACGCGGCCAGACGGCCCAGACAGAGACGGCCCAGAGAACCCAGACGGCCCAGACGGCCCAGACGGCCCAGACAAGGCCCAGACGGCCCAGACGGCCCAGCCCAGACGGCCCAGACAGCGCAGGCGGCCCAGACGGCCCAGACGGCCCAAACGGCCGAGCGCAGACGGCCCATGGCTGCAGACGGCCAGACGGCCCAGACGGCCACGGCGCAGAGAGCCCAGACGGCCCAGACGGCCCAGAGCCAGCCCAGACGGCTCAGACGGCCCACGGAGCCCAGACGGCCCTGCAGACAGCCCAGACGGCCCATGGCGGCCACAGCCCGGACGGACGGCTGCAGACGGCCCAGACGGCCAAGCGCAGACGGCCCAGACGGTCAGACGGCCCAGACGGCCCAGACGGCCCAGAGAACCCAGACGGCCCAGACGACCCAGACGGCCCAGACGGCCCAGACAAGACCCAGACGGCCCAGACGGCCCAGCCCATACGACCCAAGCCCTGACGGCCCAGGCGGCCCAGACGGCCCAGACGGCCGCAGAGAGCGCAGACGGCCCAGACGGCCAGACAGCCCAGACAGAGACGGCCCAGATTGCAGAGAGCCCAGACGGCCCAGACGACCCAGACGGCCCAGATGGCCCAGACAAGGCCCAGACGGCCCAGACGGCCCAGCCCAGACGGCCCAAACAGCCCTGACGGCCCAGGCGGCCCAGACGGCCCAGACGGACCAGACAGCCCAGACCGACTTTGAGGAGGAACGCGGCCCTTTCAAGCCAAGCGACTCGGGGCCATCTTGGACCGTCTTGGGAGCTTCTTGGGGCCCTTTGGGCTCGGCCGCTTGGCTCCCAAAAAATCACGCGACAAGCTGCGGGGAGCCCCAGGGGGCTCGCAAGAAACCCCTGGCGGATTGAGAGCGAGGGGCCCGGGTCCCTATAAGACCCCTCAGGACTGATGAGGACTGAGGCTTAGAGGGTTAGGCGAAGGACCTGAGGACACGCCCACTTCGTGCACGGGCACGATGGCGGATAATCCAGCATATGAGCATCTGTCATGCCGTCACTGTCCGGCCCGCCGAATCAAATGTCTCGGTCAGCCGAATCAGCTGTAACTCTTCGGTCCGCCGGCTCGAGACATTGGATTCCACCGTAGCCGGTTCGAAGCTCAAAAGAAGCTGCAGGCCCTCGCACATCATCCGAACTTCCGCCAGAGTTGGGATGGCGGGCGCGCTGGTGGACGCCATGAATGAGCAGCTCGAGTGGTGCAACGTATCACAGCAGACGCTTCCACCGGATGCCTTCGCCAGGGTGCGCGATCAAGCTTCGCGCGCAATCTTGGCTGCAGTCGGGCTGCGCTCTTCTCTGACAGCGGGGGAGGCTGCGAACGCGGCGCGCCTGCTGCTGAACAGCCCTTTCGATGCCAACATGAGGGCCGCCATCAACCTTGCCATCAGCGACAAGGTCGCGGCGCTCGGCGCTGCGGCTGGGGGGCGCGGGGGGCGGCCCGGAGTTCAGCAGGGGCAGCGTTGCCCCAAGTTCCACAAGTACATCAAGGAGGGGATGATGGTTGAGCTGCGGGGCCCGACCGTGACGTATCAGAAGAAGTTGCAGCTCGCCACCGACCTGTGCTACCAGCTCGGACTCACCCACGCGTCGGAGGAGACCTACTTGTGCATGGCCGTGGGGCTATACACAGCGGCGAGCGTGGGCACGGCTGCGCACAACATCTCGCACGAAGCCGAGATCTCGATGTGCTGGAGTTTGAAAGAGGACTTGAAGGCTTCCGTCCGCATCATGCGCACGAGGAGCCGCGCGCCTTGGCACGGGCAGGCGGCGGGCCGCTCAACGCAAGTGCCCTCAACGCTCTCACGTTGGAGAGGGAGGAGGAGGAGAAGGAGGAGGAGGAGGAGGAGGAGGAGGAGGAGCAGACTCGGACGCCCATCTGCCGAGCAAAGGGCCGCCGAGGCAAAAAGAGGAGGAGGAGGAGGAGGAGGAGGAGGAGGAGGAGAAGGAGGAGGAGGAGGAGGAGGAGGAGGAGGAGGAGGAGGAGGGGGGGGCAATTTTGAGTGATTTGTTTTCCCGCTCTCGGCCTGCGGTGGAGGAGAAGGGGGGCGGAGGGGGATGGGGGAGGAGGAGGGGGGGGGAGGATGGAGGGGGAGGGGGGAGGAGGAGGAGGAGGAGGAGGAGGAGGAGGAGGAGAGGGAGGGCTCGTTACTAGCCCTCAACTCCCCCATGCCCCCTCCGCAGAGGTGGGGCAAGGGGATGGCTACATCATACTTATGCACGCATCCTTTCCTCAGGTGGTCGATTGGCCCGACCAACCAGAATCGCTCCTGCACGCGGGACAACACCCGGCGGTCTACGAGCGGAGCTACGGCGAAGGCCCCGAAGCTCCCAACAGCCACCAGTGGGACGAGATCGAGCTCAGCATCCTCAAGGGCATGTTGCCGATGCGTCGCCCCCACTCGTCGCTCCGCGGGAGGGCAAGGTCGGCGGCGGCAGGCGTGCATCTGACGCTCTCGGCACCGCAGGTTCCGCAGCTGCAGCTCCCACAACAGAACCCGAACTTGTTGATGTTGCAGGCCCCGCAGCAGGCCCCAGCCGCAGCGCCAGCGCAGCAGCTCTTGGCCTTGCCTGCGCCGGCGCCGGCGACGGCGCCCACGACGAGCGCGGCGCTTCCGCCGGCGCCAGCGCCGGCGCTTCCGCCAACGCTTCCGCCAGCGACAGCGGCGACGGCAGCGGCCGCCCCGTTGACGGCGAATGCCTCGGATCTGGCAGCGGCTACACAGGAGGTGCTCGCGGTGCTCAAGACGAAGACGGGCGCCGAGAAGCGGCCGGCGGCGGCGATGGCGGACGCGGCCGACGAGGAGCGAGCGGAGGAGGAGGAGGAGGAGGCGGAGGAGGAGGCTCCAACGCCGAAGGCCAAGGCGAAAGCGAAGGCGAAGCCAGCGGCGAAGATCGGCAAGCAGACGCCGATGAAGGCCGCGAAGGTCGACGAGCAGACGCCAGCGAAGGCCGCGAAGATCGACAAAAAGACCCCGATGCAGTCGTCGAAGGTCAAAAAGGTCGGCGGGAAGAAAAAGCTTGAGCTGCCCTACCCCGGCGTGCCCAAGGTCGCGAAGCCCCCCGTGGAGTACCGCCAATGGAGGGTTTACACCGACACAAAAAAACAGGCCTGGAGGGCCAAGGAGGTCGGCGTCCGCGAGGATTTCTACAAGAGCTGGAAGTCGGACCCCCATGCGGCCTGGGCAGCGATCAACGAGATCATCCAGCAGTGAGCGGTCTCGGCTTGGGCGCGAGATGCCGGTGAATCTTGTTTCTCGGTTCCGCTTCCGCCGTGGGGTGGCGGTCGGTGGAAGACCCTTGCAGGAGACGTTGGGCTCGCCCGCGCTCCACTCGCCAGCGAAGGAAAGATCATCCTCATCTTCATGGTCATCTCCATCTTGTCGATTAGGACCCATGAGGCTTTCAAGCATTAAACAAAAGCCTGCGGATGCAAGGTCGGGTCAGAGATGCCGGAGTTCTGTTTCGGAGTCCAAGAGGGCTCCAGATCGGTCCAAGAGGGCCCCGAGAAGCTTTCTAGACGGTCCAAGAGAGGCCCGAGACGGCCAAAGATCACCCGAAGACGCCCCAGATGGCCCCAAGACAGCCCAAGAGGCCTCCAAGACGCTCCAAGGGCCTTCCAAGAGGCCTCCGAAGAGGGCCCCAAGTTGCCACAATCGTTGATTTTCATTGGTTTTTCCTATGTTTTTTTTTGCGCTCTGGCCTTTTCGCTTCCGGGCGCTCCGAGAGGGCCCAAGAGGCCTTCAAGACTGCTCCAAGACGGCCCACGAGGCTCCCAAGACGGCCCCGGAGCGGCCCAAGAGCGCCCCCCAGACGGCCCAAGTGCCGCCCAAGGCGGACCAAGAGGCCCCAAGACGGGCCCAAGAGGGGCTCAAGAAGGGAACCGAGAACTGAAAAATCGAGCCCTCCGCTCCAGAAGGCGCCCAGGACCCCGAAGGAGGCCCCAAGAGACTCTCCAAGACACCCCCAAGACGCCCCAATAAGCTCCCGTGACCCAGGCCCAGGACCTACAAATCCTGGTGGAGGGAAAGGCGGGGGCCTAGGTACCTTCAGCGCTGCATATTTCTGACTCTTCGCATTTTTCTCCATGATAGCATTCAGCCGCATCGCAGATGCAAGTGTGTCCTCGACCTCCATGGCTGCAATTTCAGCTATTATCCTCGTCTCCTCGAAGTGATTCCACAAACGGGGATCCCTGGACTTCACAGCAGGCTGCGACTCCAGTGTCTCGAACTCCCTTGTCAAGTAGATCTTCATGGGCCTGGCTTTGGCGAGCGGGATGAGGACAGTCTCTGCCTCGGTAACTTCGGGATCAGCCTTGCAGCCAGCCTTGGACTGATCGCCCTGGGCATCTGCACCAGTCTGACCATAAGCATGCCACTCGCCGTTGATCTCTGCAGTGTTCTTGGAAACAGACCAGGCAGCACCCAGGCCACTCGAAGAAGCAGCCATCTTTCCATTGCCATAGTCAACCATGTTTGCTCCCCAACATGATTCTGAACCTGACCGCTGCCAGCTGCTATCCCAGCCAAACCAATTGTCTGCATATCCAGACCGCCACCATGCGGTGTCAGAGGACCACATTATGACATCTT